TGTGTGTGTGTGTGTGTGTGTGTGTGTGTGTGTGTGTGTGTGTGTGCTACACCTCCTGACTCCATGAGTAGTTTCCCATTAAGTCGGAGTGACAGGATGTGAGAGTTCTGCTCTGAGCTGCTGGGGAGAAAACGCTTAAATTGAGTCGGTTTTTTTGTGTTTTTTCATGGTTTTTTGTGCCCTTTTGTCTCATGTAGCCTCTCAGCTTCTCCCTCTCCCTCTTTACTGCACCTCCCACTCTGGTCCTCCTCTTCTTTACTCCTCCTTATTAACCCTTGTTTGGCATTCAGGTCTAAGTGACCCATTTTCATTTTTTACTACAAGAAAAATGATACGATGAATTAATTTTTCAAACTGAGACTCACTGGCTTTGGCTCATTTTCTGTGAAGAATTAATATCAGAATACATATTTAATGCCCACACACCGTACACCCCCCCTACACATTTCTATCACATTTAAGATGTCCGGGTCCACTGTCTATCTGCAAAAAATTTGGGCCAGCACAGCTTTGCCAGAGTGGTTTCTTATAACCGATCAGAGGGCCCTGGAATTGATTTTGAATAAGTTAAGTTAAGATAGGATAAACATCTGTTCAGTATTTTAATATAAAAGTGTTTGATTGTGAGGCATTAAAATGCAACGGGTCCATCAGACCCACAGACCCACAATATGAACACCACACAGGGTAACCCCTGTGTGATGTTCATATTCATATTGTTTATTTATTTATTTATTTATTTATTTATTTATTTATTTATTTATTATTTATTCATTTGACAGGGACAGTACAATTAAACATTGCAACCAAACAGGTGGCTGAGGTCCAAGTACATAAGGCTTGTAGCCGTGGGCTAATTTCCTCGTTAGGCCGCCGTTTCTCTGTTAGCCGCTAACGCTGTTAATGTAGCTGTAAAAAAACATTAAACCTGACACCCCCCTTCCTCTAACCCCGCCCCCCCCCCCCAGATTCATTATCCCGGTGGGCAGAACTACGTGGTCCCAGAGCAGCTGTGGGCGCTGACGGCCAGATGTTTGACCCCTGTAAGGCTGCCCCTGAAACTGTGTCGGGATTGTAATTGTTTTTGTTTTAGAAACCAGAAAATGTGTTTTTATTTAAATTTTTGTTCACTGGAATGTTTTTCTAGTCTGTAAACTTTAGGGAAAAGGATGAAAAGACATCAGATGTTAACTGTGAAGGGTTAGGGTTAGGGTTAGGGTTAGGGTTAGGGTTAGGGTCAGGGTCAGGGTCAGGGCTAG